TTATAGGGTTTAGGGTTTATAGGAATATATGGGGTTTAATGCAGGGGCCTAAAGAATGGGGTTTGGGGTTTAGGGCTTAGGGTTTTGAGCAGTGGTGGGGTTCTAATGTAGGTAATCCCTACATGAGGGTTTAGGGTTTATTGGGTTTAGGGTTTAGGGGTGAGGGTTTAGGGTTTAATGTAGGGGTTTAAAAATTACCAATTCGATTTTATGGTTGAGGGCTTAATGGGGTTTCGGGTTTAGGGCTTTGGGGTTTGGAGTTTTCGGGTTTAGTGCTTTAGGGGTTAATGTAGGGGCCTCAATAATTACCAACACTATTTTGGGGGGGCTCCTTATTATAAGTATAGTATAATGGGCCCCAAAACTCTATTTTAATTAAGGCCCCTATTTTAGGGTTATAAGGTTTAAGGAGTGTAGCAGTGTATCGGAGTGCTGATGATGACAGGTAACCGGCAACACTGACGTTGTCATGCATGACGAGGCGTCACGAGGATTGGGGAGGTAAGGATGTTTATATGTGTCATGGCCATGATGTTGCTGCTGATGATGTTGATGGTGGTGATATTTCATTATGCTGATGATGGTACTGATTTTGGGACGACGTTTTCGGACGGCGGTCACGCGGTGTTCATGACAGAATTCTGAAGGCAGGCATGAAGGCGACTGCTGCCCCTATGCACATGCATGCATACATACATGCTTACATAATAATATACATACATGCATGCATGGTGTAGGGTTTCGGGTGTTGTGCGTTCGGGTTTAGGGATGTTTAGGGATCTGCATGCCTTTTTATGTGTGTAGGTATGTATGTATGGATGAACGTATGTAAGGTTATCAGCAAGTATCTACATAAAGACGCGACATCTTGCTGCAGAAGGTGCTGCCGCTGGCGAGGCGGCGGAATGTTGGCTACTGGAGGCACAGATGCTCAGCTGTTAACGTTTTGGCTTACATATTCGACTTCCTTTGAGAGTTCCTTAGGGGTTCCTACATGTTCCTACAATCCTCTAAAGGATCCCCAAATCCCCGCTCCCTGATACAGTTTAGGGTTTAGAAGCCTCGGTCCCTTATGTAGGCTTGAAAAATTGATGTTGGAATGTCTGGGTGCAGTATGTTGGTTCCAGATTGGTGCGGCATTGCGGCATACCCGGCAGGTTAAAATCGTGTTAAGCCGGGCTCTTGTTAAGGAATTTGGTTTAAGCTACCATAACAGGGGTCTATAGTAAATTATAGGGTTTCTGTACTATTACGGTAACTTAAATTAAACTCCTTCACGCAAGGGAACATGAAGCTGCATGGCGAAGGCAGATTTTAACACCAAAGCTATGATTTTTCCGTGCCCGTGCTGCGCCAACGCCCCGCTTTTGAGCGACTCGGAACAGTCACAGCAGGGTAGGGCTGAGAAAAAAACGCAAGGGAACGCTTTTAGGGTTTAGGGTTTCGGGTTTAGGATTTAGGATTTAGGGTTTAGGGTCTTTCAGGTCGGCAGGGGCCTACAACACCAAAGCCCAAGCTGCATTTATGCAATTCCGCCTTGGAGAAGACATTCCTGTGGCGAACAGTTCGGACTAATGGACACCGCCGGCGCCGCCGACCCTGTCCACCTGAAGCCCGAATCCCATGACTCCCATTCGTCTCCGTTGTAGTCCCTTTGGGGCTTACCTTATAGAACACATAAAAAGGAACCACAACCGTGACTATAGTATAGGCACCAATTACCACAATCCCGCAATCTGGAGGCCAACTTCGAAATTCTGTGATTCTCAGCCCTAGTACCAGAGATAATCATGTCGTCCAGAATCCCTACACCCAAAATCCTATAAACCCCTAAACCAAAACTCTAAACCCTATAAAACCCTAAAGTAAAACAATAAGCCCTATAAAACCCTAACATAAAACCTTCAACGGCAGAAGGCCCTGGTCCGAAACCCTAAACCCTAAATCCTAAACCGAATCAAGTCAGCCCTGGATCTGGTAAGACTGGCGACCCTCTTGCTCGGGTTTAGGGCTTAGGGTTTAGGGTTTAGGGTTTAGGGCGTCTCGCCGCGCAGCGGCAGTAAGTACCATGTGGAAATGGCGCCCCGACACACCCAGGGGTGTGAGGGGGCGGCATATC